CTTGTTCCCTGGTTATTAAACGTCATGTCTGACCCAGATTTCCACACAGCAGTTACTGTCACACTCACTCTTTCCTCGAGTTGGATAGCTATAATAAAATTGAGTAACATAAAAAAGGAATGACACGCAATTTTATTTCGCCGTGGCTTTAACAAGGCAGCCAGTGTTACTGTCAAACCTTCTACTCAAACCAAAATGAGCAATTTATCATTGTCCAATAGGGGATTGTGGTTCACTCCATTCCTTCTACTGGCTTTCTAAGCACATTCTACCTGGTTGTCTTTGTTTTTTGCCTGCCTGCCTCCTGTTATCACCAGTTGCTTTTGATCTTTTTCAGCAGATGTGACTCTTGCTTTTTCCTGACACATCTCTTCTTTTACAGCCTTGCTTTCACTCATGCGGCTCACTTTGACTGCACAGTATCCATAGTTTCTGTGCAGCAAACATGCGAACGTGACCGTCTGAATATGTGACACACAGCCATCGGCTTTAAGCGGCTTCACGTGATAAAGAGCCACTCACGTGCGTTCCTTGGTGCTCTTCTCTTTTCTGTGCCTTCAGGTCCCGCACCTCATCCATCTCCCCCCCTCTCTTCCTCCTTTCCACACTCAACCTCTCAATTTCTCAGTTGGCCTTTGCGTCCAGCCCTCTGGCCTCTCTCCCCTCTGCCACGGCTCTCATTACCTCTCTGTGTCTTCCTCAATGACATCTAGTGACTAGCTATCAGATCTTGACACTTTGATACCCTCCTACTGCTCTGTTGTGCTCTTCTTGCTTTCACTCTTTGTCACTCACTCTGTCTCCTCCCCTTTTGTTCTTCCTTTCTAATTTCCTATCGATCTTTCAATCCATACATCCCATCACTGTATGTTGGTAAAGCTATGCAAGACAAATAGTCTTATCACCTGTTATGGTCACTGAATGTTCATGATTCTTAGATAGCTACAGCACACTGGTCTAGAGCACGCATGCCACATACTTTACCATATTCATATTTCTGAGAGAGAGAGACAGTCATTTTCCCATGCACATGCACACACACACACACACTGCATGGACACTAATCACTCACCCACTGGGACCTTCAGCCGCAAGTCACAAGAGGATGAAGACCTCATTATATTCAATATACTGGACTCTCTTTATGATGTCAAGGATCTGCACATGTACTGTATTCCTGTCCATGCTTCTCATATCACTGTGGCCTATAGTGATGGTGCTAATCCTCTTCTGCTGCTCTTGCCTATCTGCCTCCTCCTCATCTAGCCCACGTCTCTTAGATTGGCATGTCCACCGAGTAAGTCTCTTTACAGCCGTGGCCTAAAAGGGTTTTTTTTCTCCCAGTGATGAGAACCTCAGAAAGAAGGAATCTCATTATTTTCAGAAGGAACTGCTTTTGGATGTTCCACACAACTGTGAGAATAAATGATTGTTTCAGCCCTTGAAATAGCTCTTACCAGATGTTAACAATATCTTGGGTTTTAATGATGGAGCTGTGAGATGATGTGAGTTTTATCATAAAATGCAGGATCCTGTCTGCACTTTTGATTGGCTTTGTTTTAAAGTGCAAAATCTCTAAACGAATAGCATCATTGGCATGTGCAGTCAAATATATATATGAGTAAACAGTTACTTTAATACTTGTGTATTCACTGAGAATAACAGGCTGAAGAGTACTTCCCTGCAGAGAAATCCTGGCGTGTTACTGAGAGAATCTGTTGTAGAAAAAGAAGATCCTGAACCAGCTTGTTTGTGATCCCAAACCTTGAATTCCAACACTTCTACAACCTTTGCCTCAAGATTATGTTACTCATCCAGTTGTAAAAACACCTGTGAACATTCAATAGTAATAGTATTGAGTCCAACGCATTTCATAGTCCATGACAGAATATAATACATTCTGTGGACAGACGAGACAATAGTTGGACTTTTATAAAAGGTTTGAGTCCTGTTACATCTGATGACCTCCTGAAGTGACTTTGAATGTGGCATGGTTTAGTTAGTATTTCAGAAACTGCTACTGGGATTTTACCAACAGCTATCTCTGTGGTTTACAGACAATAGTCCGAAAATGAGTGAGTCCAGTGAGTGGCAGTTCTCCGAAGAGTTGCGAAACTGCTTTAACCCGATAGCAAGGCAACAGTAACTCAAATAACCACTTGTTACAATTGAGATATGCAGAACGGCATCTCAGAATGCACAAGTCTTGAAATATACATAGCACAGGAGCAGAAGACCACTCCTGTCAGCTAAAAACAGAAAACTGAGGCTTAAACTCACTCACCAAATCTGGAAATTAGCAAGAGATTAGAAAACTACTGCCTGGCCTGATGAGCCTTGATTTTTTCTGGGACATTTCGATGGCAGGGTCCAAAGTTTTTGTAAACAACATGAAATCATGGATTCATACTGCTTTGCATGAATGGTTGGTGTTGTAATGATCTGGGGGATATTTTTTGGGCATAATTTAGGCCACAGCCTACCTGACCAAGTCCATCCCTTTATCACCACAGTGTACCCATTGTCTGATTGCAGCATCCAGCAGAATAATTAATCATAGCACAAAGTTCATCTGAAATTGTTTTCTCGAGTTCACCGCACTGTGGTGGAACTTTAAGACTCACATGATGGATGTGCAGCTGACAGATCTGTGTGATGCAGGTGTGTGATGCTGTCATGTCATTATGGACCCAAATCTCTGAGGAATGTTTCCAGCACCTTGCCGAATCTATGCTGCAACAAGCAAAAGATGATCCAACCGGGTTAGGAGGTTAGTTGAATCAATCTTGGTTGACTTAAGGTAATACACCCTATATTCTTTTCAGTTTTGAGACTGCTGCGCTGATTTGGTCAGACAATTTCAGGTCAGGATTGAGCGAGCATAAGGCTAAAGTTTTCTATACTGTAAATTTTTTAGTGAGGGGCAACACAGGGACTTAGTTATTGAGGCCGACAGCGTCCGAATGTTACAGCAAGAAAGTCCTACGGATGTTCTCCTGTGATCTGGTTTCCTCCCACAGTTCAAAAACATGCAGATCAGGTAAAATAGAAGATTAAATGTGCCTGGTGTTAATCCTATGATAGACTGGTGACCTTCTTTCCATTTGTGAATACAGGGATAGTCTTCATCCCTCTGTGACTCTGAATAGGAATAGGCAGGTATAGAAGATGAATGGATGTAAGCTGCCAAACACTTTTTCAAGGTTATTTAACAATTTCTCCATTATTTCATCAATATACTTGTAGGATTACCTACAAACCTCCTGTGCATGCCAGGAGCCCCACACAAAAAAGTGTGTGTTGGTTCTGGCTGGCTGGCTGACTACATTCTTTCTCTCCATGTTTCCAACCATAGCCAAACATTCAATATATATATCCAGCATGGGCCTGCTGAGGAAGGTTTAACCCAGCAGATGACATTCAGTACAGTGCCATAATCATTGCCTCCTAATGAATTAAATAGCCCTGACATTTCACAGCACAGTGCTTGTCCTTTTCCTGCAACTGCTCTGGTGTTGTAGCCCTCCTTGCATTCATTCTGTTGCTCTCTCATTACTTCTCCTGCATTGCTTTTCCATGTGCCTTTTGGCCTCTTGCTTTGTCCCCTTCTCTACCTGCTCCC